TAAACATCATCTCATTTTTGGCAACAGTTAACGACAACAATTGTTGAGTTATACGTGCCAAGCATATTTTTTCCAATACGGATGACAGCCGCAGGGCGCTTTTAAATGAAATGAGATTTCTTTTCTTTCTCTGAACGAGCAAAAACAATTACGCTAGATGTTATCGTTTTCTTTTTGCGATGCTTTTCATCTCTTAATGTGCTTTGTTTATTGAGTAAAAATAAATAAATATAAGCAGACATTGTTCTCTCTCCTGAAAAGGTAACATCAAATAAAAAGAGTCGGTTTCTCTCTATCATTTGGAAGAATAATTATTTTAGAAGTGTCTTTCTACTAATTTATTTGCAATATTACCAAAGTTTCTTAATAGAAAAAGAAATAGTTTACTACTTGGTATCATCAAACAATATCAGTGCGATGGAAATGAGATTCATATTCTTCAAGAATAATGTTTTTTCTTTACGGTTTTACGTTTTAGACTTCCCAGGTCCATGAAGATCACAAATCACTAGGAAACAATGCTCATATGTTAACATATTGAAGATACAATCAGTTCATATCTTGTTTAAATGCATTCTGCTACATATTTCAATTTCGTATTTCGAAAAGAAAAAAATTGAGATATCAAGTTAGAACTCATGAGAAACATTAAAAAAGTCTGTGTATGGCATCGAACGAGTACTGTCACTTCAAGAAAAATTTTCGAACTCATCAATTCTCGAATACATGATCATTGCAAATTGTAAGTTTTCACCATTTTCACTCACGTATATTTAGATGGATGTGAGTTATTCTTTGAAAACACTGACTAATTGAAAGACATCTTGAGCATGCAATATAATAATTTGCAGTTATTGCCTCTTCCGATTCTATTTATGGTAGCTCTTTTGTCTATTGTCAGTTATTCATTTCAGAAAAAATTCATTAGTTCTTGCTGAATGTGTTCGTCGTCAGCATTTTGTTCCACTCATTTTCTGATTATTGACTTAAACGGTTGCTCTTTATTTCTTAAGCATATCACTCATAGTCTTTTTGTGGTTCTCTCTAGTTGATTTATTGTATTGTTTCTTGTTGTTGGTTTCCTCTTCGGTATCACCAATGAAATAATGCTTCGCAATGATGAAATTCAACAGCTACGAAATACATGGAGCGCTTCCAAACACTCAGAAAGCAATATACACTCGTTTTTATCTGAGAAAAGCTTTTCTTCCATAGAATGCATTAAAAGAGATGTAAAGAAAAAAAGAAAAGAAGCAACTGCCATTAATGAAAAAGATTTTTGTGCATATAAACTAGAAAATCAAAGAAAAGTACTTGTCATAATCACTGAACAAACAAAAGAAAAGACAAATTGTACACGTAGGAAGTAAGTAGTAGATTGCACCTCCTTAAAAAATGAAAGAGATGATGTATATAGTCAATAATAGACGATATTTGATCATATTTTTTGAGTTTCATATTAGCTTTCAACGATAAAAACACAACTATTGAGTAAAGAATTCTGACTGGTAACGTGACGGTTTACGTATGGTATTGTATTATTAAAAAATGTTGTGTTCAACGTCCATGATATTCTCCTCAGTTGTTTATTGTCTTTTTCCATGTATATATTTCCACGAACTCGGTTCGTGCTGTGTTTTAACAGAGTATTTGACAGATACCTGTAGATAATGATGCTGACTATTTTTCTATCATCAAAATAACACTACGAAACCGTAGATTTTTGGACAAGATACGTTCAACGAGTATGAAATTCTTAGGTCTTGTTAGAGTTGTCATGGAAAGACTATAAGAAATTATCAGCACAATATCATGAGGTTTTTAAGACATTTATCAAATAGTGTCGAATAACAGTTCATTCGGATGACGAGAATTTTCTGTGTTTTATTTGGCAACAAAGAGCTCCTTTTTCATTTTTTAGGGTACGAACAGATGTACAGCTGCATATAACTCTTTCATGGAACTCGAATGAAAATGAATATCGAACTGAGATCTCGCATCCTAGTATGCTTTTTTGCTAACCATGGGACTATGCATTTCTCACCTACACCTTTATAATTTTAATATTTTGACTCGATTTGAAATGCTATTATACGAAAAGCCTTTATTTGCTATTGAATTGAGCTATATCAGACTCAGTTACACACCGATGCAGAAACTTGAACATAAATACGTAGTGTCCTTCTAAAGAATTCAGATGAGTATAACAAGCGTGTGCTTGTTTATATGAACTAGATCCATCATATTTCATATGCTAATTATGTAGGAATTGTAACAAAAACCTTTTTCTCATCTTCATATTTGTGTTAAATTTTCATCTATTTATTTTAGGCATATTTGATGATTGACAAGTCATTCATGGTTTGCAAACTCATTTTACTCTATCGAAAAACAGTTATCTGTCTGCTCCGAATATTTGTCGTTAGAGACTTTTGATGTTTAAAAACAAGAGTTTAATATCGATGGGGTGGGATCGATTAAAATTTCTCTGGCAATCTTTTCTTCACCTAAATATATTTAAAAATCACTCAAGCAATGCACAAACTGCTGTTTGGGAACAACTTGCAACACGTATCTATATTATATCAATGATTAGTCTTCTTTTTCTTATTGCCATTGTTTCTGCATGGATTTGATGAAGAGAAAATGTCATTGAATATTCACCTTCGTATGTCAAGTTTTCCGATTTGTCGAAAAAATACTCGAATACTCTGAAATGTCCATGTTCAAAGATCGGCATTGCTTATGAAACATTTGTAAAAACTTATGTTGATTTTCATCAAGTATGTTCAAGTCAATTTGTAATACAAGATTGGATTGATTCAATATTTATTCAAAAAAATACTTCGTCCTCAACTATATTTGATATTCGTTTCTATCTCAGTCATTTCTGGCAAGTTATCATGGGTTTTTGTGTTGTTAGTAAGAATACATGGGCTGATGCTGTTGCAAGTTTTGGTGCATCACACATTCTTAGTCTAATGGCAATTCCCGATGAAGTTGTTCGAAATTAATTTCAAAAAGCTCTGAACAATCAGATTTCTTTGGCTCAAGCAACCTTAGTTCGAACTTTACTTGCTATTCGACGAATAACAGCCGAAAATCAATTTGTATCTGCTTTGGCAACCAATTTTTATCTTCATTATCCACCATTGAATTATGGATATTGGACTTATCCGAAAATGTTTCCTGTAGTATTTGATGATTGTTCTTGTTTGAATGTAACTGGATGTTCACGTACAGCTTTCATTAAAAATAGTCAAAATCAGTTAATATCAGTACCAGGAATGATTATTGATTGTTACATCGTGGATAGTACGCTCGCATCGACATTAGAATGTTACTATAATTTAACATGTTTTCGTCTTCTACATCAACAATCAACGAGAATGGTTAATTTATTGTCAAACTCGTCTAATAGATGTTTTCTATTCAATTCTACTGTGCAAACACTTCTCGATAATTCAATGATAGATCAATGGAATACTGAAATAAAATTTGATCTATTTTACAGTCAATGCGATCCTGCATATTGTACTTTTTCATACATGCATCGCTTTTCTATTCTCTTTATTATTACTACAACAATTGGGACATTCGGTACACTTTCTCTCATACTGCGTCTTATTGCACCATCTATTGCACGAGCTTTGATTCGATTGACAACAAAAAAATCTCGAAAAGATAACATACTAGAGAATGTTGCGACTTCTCGATGATGTACATGTAAGTTTTAAGAGCAAATGAGTGATAAAATGAGTCAAATTTGGATAGTCAACAAGCAAGTCGACGAGAAAATTCATGGATTGTTTCTTTCTATTCTACCAAATCAGATAATTGTTTTTTTTATATAGAACTCACATATATTCTCGAAGAAAATAGTGAATGAGTTTTAATTGGAAGTTTTTGAGATTTCCTATAGGCCTTAGCAACCGGGGTTGGATGAAGCTAGTCGTGTTTGAATATATTTTCTTAGTAATGAAAACTGCTACATAAGGAATCGCAGTACTACGTATGTCATTGTGAAACCATGTAGATCCTGACTTTTCTAAGTGCTTTGAAATTTGCTGATTAATGTGGTTTGAAAGTCTTATGGTTGATATCAATTAGTAGCAGGGTGGAAGCTTATTCAAGAATTAAGTTGATGTGTATAGCATGTTAGTGTAGTACATAAAACGATGAAAAGAAGATTGAATTGATATTTATCGTTTCCTGCGACAGGCTCCCTATTTTTATCGTAAATAGTAAAGAAATTGAGTATTAAAGATATATTTTTCAATACATTCTTATGTTTAAGTTATAAAATTTTCAGCTTGAAAGAAACAAATAAAACTATGATAGAAGAATGTTAAAATTTTTTCTTTATTAAATTGCTTGGAATATTGACGACATGAATACATTTTCATAATATAATGATGTTAGATGAATTAAATTTTAATACATATTTTTTCGAAATGAATGAGTTTCAAAGTGCGCATATAAACTGTGTAAACAGTGAGAAATATCATTTATTCTTTTATGGCAGTATTATCAAAAAACTATTTTATAATGTAATACAGAGCTCTTTAGATTTATAACATTTAGAGTTGATGAACTCGCACAGTTTGACCGTTTTGGAGCCGCACTGACAATTTTTTTTCGATTCAGTGTTGAGACAGTTAACATGAAAAATAAGATGTTGTCTCATAGTCTAGCAAAAAGTCTTGTATAATTATATTGAAAGTGATTGGTTGTTCTAAAAAAGTCATTGATCACAAAAGCTTTCTTTCCTAAAATTTAAAGTTTAACTTTTCTTAGTGTCAGTTATGATGAATCATATTCAGCATTTACCAAGCACCATCTATCAGAAACTTATAACATTAAATCTTTTCGAAAGTAAATCACCTCGGACAGAAACAAATGTCAAACGTGAGATCTTATCAACACGTCTCTTCATTATTATATTGGTTATGTGCTCAGTTATTATTGGTTTTTATATATTTCTATCGGAACAAAATCAAATGGTGACAATCAAGCATCCATCTCTCGAAACCTATGAAAAATTATATGATGAGTATTCAACTAGCATACAATGTGCTTGTGCGAATTTGTCTATTCCTTGTGAAACATTTCTTAATGTAACATTTGTCTTACATCAAGTATGTTCAAGCGGTCTAGTTTCATCGAATTGGTTCAATTATCTGTTATTATTCGATCCAAATCATGTACCTGTTTGGACAGAAACAGACTTTTCACGTGATTTTCGTTCTATAGGACTCTGGTATTTTCAACTTTTGGTCACTTTTTGTTCTGTGGCTGATGCCAATATTGCCGATGGTCAACGTATTTTTAAAAATGCTCTATTCATCAATAATAATCTTCTTCCTCGATCACTCTTCATTCAAGAAGCTGAAGCTTTGGCCAATGCATTTATATATAAAACAAGAAACACTTATGCACGCACTTTGAAATGGGTTGATATTGCTGGTATTGTCAATCGTTTTTCAACTGAAACAAATATCAATTTTCAAATCACAGTGACCAGCGATAGCCAAGTAAATATTTATGATGTGCATCTTAGGGTGGGGCGTCTATTACTCATACGTCTATGGGAACTAATGATCCATGTTCGTGTGCAAGAGATGTTCATGATTGCATTTTGAGACCAATCATATATACAAATGGATCAAATGTATTAGATTTTGTACAAGTTTTTTATGAAATAAGGATTAGCTGTGTGCCTTCGATTGGATTCTCAATGTCTGAAATTATCTGGTGGTACAACGAGACCTACATGAAAAATATTCGAGCAACATACGCTATTGTAATCAATTCTCAATCTTCACCAAAACTCGATCCACTAAATAGTTCGTTACCAACTGGGTTTTATGATAATAATTTAAATGACCTACTCAGTGCGATGTTTCTTGAAGAATCATTCATCGACAGCCAGCGTTATGATCTGTTTTATGAACGATGTGCGCCGATTAGTTGTTTATATACAATTGTGCGACGTCGTGAGATTCTTTTTGCGATTCTCTTACTTATTTCTGTCTTCAGTGGACTCAATCGTGGTCTTCGATTAGTTGCACCGTGGATCAGCAAATTGATCCTGTTTTGTCTTCGAAAGTGGAAAAATCGGAACAGTATTCACGGTAAATATGCCGTACAGACTACATTCTTGAGACTATTGAAACAGTTGATTTCATTTCAATAGGTAAAGTTTTCGAAATAAAAAGCTCGTGAAGATAGCTGTCGATGGGGCTAATATTGAGTATTATATTTCCTAGGCGATTACAGGGATACATCTTCCATAGAGACGAACAAGAAACTTGTACAAAATGCTATCTTTTTGAGAAAGCTTTTCATTCACGTATATTCGATACATTGACGGATCTATTCGACTTTCACAATAATCTACTTGCAAAGTTTCAGTGAACTATTTTCAATTCTTTTTCTTTCAAGAAAAAACTTTCAAAAGTTGAATATTTCAAAATTTGATCAACGTCACTGATTTTGTTTTCAAATGGGAATTTCAACTTGTCGAATAAGGAAGGTTTGTTTTCAGTACTACTTGTCGATGACACTCGGTGGCAATAGTTTACAAAGAAGATTATTACATCAGTCAAAACACTGAATCTTTTCGAATCGAACTCAACTGATACAGCTACTCTAAAAAAACAGCAATTATATACTCGAGTCTATCTTATTCTTCTCATGAGCTCTCTCAGTGTGCTAATCTTTTATTCCTCGTTTGTCGATCGTACTATAAACAGAACATATTGGTGTCCATTGATGGCAGATTATGAACATTTGTTCAGTTTCTATTCGGGTAATTTGAATTGTCCATGCACAGAAATATCAATTGCTTACAACGCATCTGTCACTCAGCTTAAAGTTAACTCATTTCATCAAATATGTACTACCTCAATACTGAGTGTCTGCTTCGACGATGCTTGGAATCGGGATGTTGGAAATTCTTTCATTTATGCGAGAGATTTTACATCATGGAAGAATGCTTTTGTCAATGGTCTTCAGCAGCTCTGTAGTACAGCACAAAAGAGTGTAGGCGATAGTATTCAAGATTTTCTAGCATCAACTATGCTGACCTACCAAGTGATGTCTCGCACACAATTTGATAGAGAGATCAAAATGACTCTCGATCGATTCAAAAAATCGATTTCGGTTGCATTTGCTCAAACACTAGATCTTATTCGTACAACTATAGAAGGTAATGCATTCATGGACGTGTTTTCATCGAATTGGAAATTCATTAGGGCTGACAATAGCAAAGACCTGAATGCTTCCTTTTTAAGTATACCTGTAAGTTATGACATTCCCAATCAAAATACAACTTGCTTGTGTTCTACAACAAGATCTTGTTCGGTACCAGCACAACTTTTTAATGATTCTAAACCATATTTTACATTCAAAGGTTTAGTGCTCAGTTGTTTTGTATTGGAAACGATTTTGCGATCTTCTCTGTCTTGTCTCTGTTCTCTAATATGTATTAATGAATTTTGAAACGTAATGGGTATCAACGACTCCTGGACCATAGAACAAGGGGCAGATATAATTGGTAGTCCTGCATATTTGGATGTCACATCTACACGATTTGCTATCAATGATACAGTCGAAACATTGGCTTACAGTATGTTTATTGAAACTTGGATTACCAACGTCTCCTATGAAAATTTCTTCAATGCTTGTCAACCGAAGCAATGTACTTACACATACCATTATCGATTTGATGCTATAGAACTTCTAACTACCCTCTTAAGTATATATGTTGGTCTGTCACTTGGATTGCATTTTTTTGTACCTCACTTTGTTCGAACAATTGAAAAAAATACGCAATCGATGTCGCACCAAGTTTTCGGACGAATCTTGTTGTCCAAATCGTTTTTGAATAGTACGATAGACAGACATCATGGAAACATGCATTTTCTCTTTTGCAATTATGGATATTATTATGCACACAGAATAGTCAAAAATTTATACACTGATGAACAAAAACATTCAGTATCTACAACATATATATATATATCGATTAAATGAATTCATTTTATTAACCAATGATAAGCGATTGTTCATGGATTATATTCATAAGAAAAAGATTGGAACTATATTCTCGATGTATCATCTTTGACCATAACAATGGTCTACATCTATTCACATATTATAAAAAGTCATTTGACAGCTTTTTCAAGAAATTCTCACTATTTTTTGTGGTGTATATTGTTAGGATGTAATAAGGGTATGGATGTGAGTGTGGATGCCGGTCTTCTTTTCAACAACAATCAAAACCCACACCAACACCGGCAATCAGAGATGTAGAATCTACTGCTGTGTGCGAACGAGCATTTGGGAAACTTTTTCTCTGGCGAAATTTTTGGAGACTTATCGGAAAAAATTCTGTTTTATTGCTTTCCCAACCGACTACGTCTTGAAAACGGTTTTCCCACCAGAACAGATGTGATTACTTTGATGGCAGATTCCACAGCTCTGCAGTCGAGATTCTTAAATTTCAATTATTGAAAATCGTGTTTAAGTTCATACTCGAAGCTGCCTTGTTGTATCGGTGAAGCATCTAATTTTGAAAATTTTATGTTTGCACGTACATAAGTCTATCCCAATTTATTTTAGTATTTTTTAATTTCGAAATCGATAAATATTGATCTCAGCTATTCCGATGAAATACCAAGCGAAAATAATTTACTAAAAAATGTTTCAGATTGAAATTAGTGTCTATTTGGTTCTCTCAGTGCGTACTCAAGGTCCATTTCCAACCTTATTATAGACCTGATTGGTTATAAGCGTATTGATTCACCCAAAGCGGTCAACATTATCGACTATTGTTCTTTAACACCTAATTTTTCCCGAAAAAGAAGAAGAAGAGGATTTTTCGAAAAATAGAGGGAAAAGAGGCGGAGTGGGAAGCCAGATCCTCACCTACGATATCCTACTTATGTCTGACAGACATTTGATAATCTTTTTTAAGTATAAATGCTTTATTAATATTACGTGCCATTTAAATAACGACCATGAACAGATATTTATATTACTATTAGTTATGTTTATTAGTCAATCACATTATTTTCTTAGATTTTTTGCTCTTTATGCATTTAACGATAGAGTAAGAGAATATTGAGCTGGTATTTAAGAAAACAGAATTGTGTCTTCGAATATTGTATCATTTTGTTTCGTTGTCAATTCCATTGAAATTGTTTTCATTCCTTTTTTATTCAAAATAGAAAGTGATATAAAATATATAGATTATTCAATACGTTTGGAATAAAGAAAATAATTAATGAAGAGAACAGATAAACTAAAAGAATGAGTATTCGAATGAAAAATAATTTTCAACATAAATAGTAAGACCATTTCATTTTAGAAAATCATAGTTGAACATATGTTAAGAAGTCAAAGCCATAATTTAAATGCTCGCTGAGGATATTCACTTATAAATGAATCTGAATCATTGAATGGCGAATTGTTACGAAGCCATTGACGAATACTATCTTGAAATTTTTCTGACAAACCAAATATTTCCAATGATACAAGAGAAGGCCATTGAGTTAATTGATTGAATATAGATAAGATTAATGATTCGAAACTCTTATCATTCATAGGAATATTTATATAAAGATGTTTAAGACGTTTGAATATTGAAGCAAGTCGAGATATAGTCGTTGTCACTTGTTCAAAATCATCAGAATATATTATAAAAATATATAAATGAGTAATTCGCTCTTCTAACAAATGACAAATCGATTGTTGTTCGAGTAATGTATGAAGAGATTTGGAATGTATGTTCAAATCAAACAGATTAGGTGATGATTGTAATAATTCTTGTAAAGATTTTGAGTCAACTGATGATTGTATTAATGACAAATGAGTAAGATGAGTAAGTTTGCATAAATGATTTTCTTTTCCAGATTCTAAAAAACAACATAAAATACCATAAATTCCTTTTTTTTTAAATAACTTACTTAAAACAAGTTCATTATCGCCTTGAAAATCTAAATATTTAACTTTTCTACATTTCATTAGTATGGGAAATACTTCAGAAATTAAATTTGGTACTCCATATAAACATAAAGATTGAATTTTATCGAAATAATTCTTGACAGAAAATAAATTCTTAAAGAATATACTCATAATACCCAAATGTGAAAAACTAATAGGTATTGTATATAAAATAATTTTATTTTGATCATCACTTATAAGACAATCGAATTGTTGAGGAAATTGTTCCCAGGTTGAAAGAATTTCTTTTCGATTAATAGAAGAATCTGATATATAATTAACTAAGTAATTAAATTGTTTTAAATGAAATGATGATAAAAAAGAATTGAAATGGTTTCCATTAATTAAATGGAAATCATCTGTATTATCGATCTTAATTGAAAGTTTTTCAATATTTATTGTTCGATTTAAAATAGATAAAAGTTCATTGAAATTAAACGAATATCCTAATGAAAATAAATTTAATTCAATAAGACTTTCAACAAGAGAATATTCTTTTTTATGATTAAATTCTGATGATTCATATTGAAGAACGGCATGAATTGTTTCAATTTGTGGTAAACGAGTTAATAAAAGATGAAGATCATTTAATCGTTCAAGAAAAATTTCTAATTTTTTTATATTTGAATATTGAATGATTATTTTGATCAATAATTGTCAAAGGAATTGATTCACGATCATAACAAATTGAATTTAATCCAGAATTATTAGCAGAAAACATTTTATCTAATAATATTTGTATTCCATCCACATTAATTTTTGCTCGTTTTAAAGAATAAATATTTAATTGAGTTAAATCTGTCAAATTGGTCAGATTATGAATAATTGATGGCAATACATCAGTAGTCAATTCAATAAGTGTTAAACATTTCAATCGTGGAAATGTTAAAGAAATTTGTTGACCAAAATGTTCAAGGAATATTTTTGATAAGTTTTCTGTCAATTGATCACTTATAGTTAATGAACCTATATTATATCCTATTTGAGGAATAATTGACGAACAGATATATTTTAATCGTTGGTATGAAACTTCTCCTAGGAATAAATGGCAATAGGTTTCGCTAATTGTTCTATTTAATCGAGTGTTTAATCCATAAAATGAATAAAGAATATCGATTGATGATAAATAACGATAGATTAATAGAAGAATTTCATCAGAAAAGTTTTCTAAACGAATTATTGACGAACTTGTGGATCGAATCATCTAAAACTCAAATATGCAATCGATTGGAGTACTTATACGTCGTTTTAAGTCGATATTAGTTCACACTAAGCAACTAAGTCACCAATAAGAGTAAAAAAACACGCCTCTCTGATGTAGGTAAAGTATACAATAACAAATGTTAATGCAACGGAAGATGTCTATATCGTGCATGTACGATTTTTATCAGGGTATTATTAAATGTTTTATAATAATTATAAAGTCTTTTTAAACTAACTTCTATAATCAGTTAATTTAATCTTTTAATAATAATTACACAGGATCTTAACTTTAGTTTCATAAACTTCCTTAAATTGAACTCTAATCCTATTCAGAAATCTTGAACATTATTGTGGAATCAGTTTGTCCAATTCAGTTTTCACCTAATTCTCGGAATTCTATAGCGTATTTGAATATCATTCTCACCCTCATCCCACTATATCTGATCTTTAATATCTGACCCAATGTTAGATAGATCTATATATCCGATATTTCATATAAAGATATGTATGTTATATTCTTCATAAAGACTTAAAGATCAGTTAATATTTTCTATCTCATTCAAAATGACAGCAAGTATAGAGATAATATGGTTTATCTGTTTCTGACCCATTTCGGATATTTCTCTTCATCTGATATAATCAGAATCGATCAGTTGAAATGCATGCCGTCGATTCATTACCTTTTTAGCATATAACCATCCAATCAAATACATGTTGCGCGCATCATAAACACGTGCTAGACTCATGTGTACTTGTGCTGTTCAGAGATGATTAGATAATGGATGTTTTAAATTCATATCCAATATTTTTTTAAGAAGCATAGAGATGTCTTATAATGTTCCTTTTTATTGAGATAAACACAGGCAAGATTACTGTAAGTACGTCCAACGTGAGGATGATGCGGTCGTAATGCCTTTAATTGAAATGTTAAAACCTCGTTTAATTTGTATACAGCGTCATCAGACTGTTCCATTTCACTGTTAAGATGGGCAAGATTACTCAGTAATGTCGCCAGATTTGGATGATTACTTGGTATAGTAGTTGAATGAGTGAAAATGTGTAAAGCTTTCTGAAAACATAATTTAGCACAAGTATATTCTTTTCGACTATGATGGACTTGACCGATATTATTGTATGCTTGAGAGAGTGTAGTGTCGCTTGGTTTCACATAAGCTGTTAGTAAATTTAGCGCTTTTTGCATAAACGTTAGAGTGTCATTCAAATTTGATTTATAACGATGAGCTACACCCAAATTATTGTAGATTTTTAATAATTCTTCGTAGTTAGTAGGATTATGTTCGAGAAAGAGAGAAAGTACTCGATTATAGTCGTCAATCGCCTGTTTGTAATGACCCTGAGTTTTAGCAACATAACCAAGTTGTTTATGAAGTTTGGCCTGCTTATCATCATCATAAGATATATTACAATCGTGTAACATCAATCGATAGTAGTATGCAGCTTGGTCGAACTGTCCCATTTCATGAAGAAACATACCAAGTGTGATCAATGTAATAGGCTCATTAATTTTATGCTGCATATAATAGTAGTCAAAGAGACGTATCATCTCTTCATTTCCATCATCACTCATTTTCAATGTAACGTGATAGATATTGTCGATTTGATTGACAGCTATAATTCGAAAGATTGCTCCGATTGAAAATAGAACTTCCTCTTCGGATTGATGGCGGCTGACATGAGAAATGTTACCGAAAGGAACTTCAGTACTCGTACGAATATCAATCTCAATTATAAATAGAACTGATTTTATCCTTTTCATCATCAGTATAGATAATTGCTTTTTCTCGATTCAACGTGACGGATAAAAATATAATGATCGATACCAATCCACCAATATTTATTTCTAACTTTCTGATCTCATCCGTTGTCAATTGTTGACCCGGCACCATTCAAATTAGTACGTCCACTAGTTCTATCATAGGATACCAGTGTTTTAACACTCATTAATTTAAAGATCAAAGAAAACATATTTGTGCGTTAATTTCAGAGTCGATTTGCTACAGATATTTTACTTTCACCAGCTGATATGAATTTGGAGACACTAGGATAAATGAACAAATTCAGAGGAGACTTCCTGATTTAGTGAGATAAAGATTCATTTAATCTGGACGTGTTTGCAACTCAATTTACACAACGCTGAATATCGCGCACTCAGTTCGTTCTGTCCAAGCATTCGATAAGAGAGAACAAAAATTGAAGATAGAGTGAAATGAAAGATAAAATTTTGTTGGCCCGGTCTATGGCTTAAATGCATTTGTCTGAGGCGTGAGTAAATCAAAAGCAGAATGCAGAACGAACCAAAGAGGAGCTCTTTGTAGATTATGTGATCTGATTTTTGGTCATTTTGGATCTTCTGCCTCAATCATGCGATTTAACGTGCTCTTTAGGATTGTGACAGTTCTAGCTCTAAATAAGTGTGGAAACCTCGGATTTAAATATGAGAGTTATGTGTACTTCAAAAAGTGAAATAGACAGATGAGTCATCCTAGAATGTGTGGACATCAAAATTATCCTGGCAAACCTTTTCTGTAAACACTTGATTTCTATTGGTCCATGCTCAACCAATGGTACTTCGAGGCAAGTGAAATACATATTCTAGTTCTCCACCCCGGAAAACCTCGAAGTATCATCTCTGTGATCGAAAGATAGAGCTCTAATTGTGGATCAATCAGAGCGTGGACAAAAACAGAACCAATTTCCGTTTAATTATCTTTGCATTAGGTGGGTTAGCCTTCTTATTTCTTTATGTTTTATATACCATTTTGTAGCTCGTGAAATTCTCTATCGAATAGTAAATAATAGTTGGGGTTTATTTGACTATGATAGGAAAAGTTGTTCACGAAATCGGGAAGGGATGGATTTTCGCATAGGAAGGCATAGGGAAAAATGACTATTTTTGCAATAACTCAGGAACGGCTCGGCCAATCATTTTCATCTTCGAACTCGACCGAGATATTGTTGAAATTTAAATGTGCAAAAAAATTTCATCGTGATCTGACTTTCCTTTCAAAATTTATCGTGTAAACGGACGGACGGACGGACACACTGACCGATTCTCGAGTGTGCTCACCTTTTGAGTACACAAAAACTCGTGAACAGTGCATATGAACTGATCTGAATGACCAGTTCCAGCTCTCATGAACTGAATTGGTTGATCAGTTCAGCGTAGCTTCTCAAAAGAGATACTTTTTAATTAAAAAACGAGCTATTTAAAACATTTAGTAGCTATTTGTTTCTTTTAAATAGCTATTGACTTCTTTCAAGTAGATATTTAAAAGTTACTGCAGATTTGGTTTTTTTCCTCATCTTGCTGTTCAAGATTTTGAACTTCCAATGTAGCGCTTTGAAACTAGAGAACAGCTATTTAAAAGAAGCATAAAATAGAAACTAAAACATCAAATACAGTTGCTCATCACGCCAACGATCAAAAACCGAAAAACCATACCTTTCCAACTATGAGAAAAAGAATAACTACACCGCTCCAGTGCTGCTCGAAACGAATCAATACTATTTAAAGCTACGTTTAAAACCTTATTAGGGTGTGGGTGTGAGTGTTCGTTAACAGACGATCTACAGTCACACCCACACCCTCAAGTGGTATGTAAATGTCTAATATTCGTCTTTTGCTAAGAATTTGAAATAATACACATATGTTAGTATCTGATATTTGGTATCTGTTGAAAATTTGAAATTATATACAGGGTGGTTCATAAATAACAGTGAGATAAGAAATTCGAATATCTCCATTACGGCTCGAGCAAACGTGCGGATTTTTTTACCAGTGATAGAGGCATGTATCAAATTTATATCCATAAAGACATGTCCAGGAAGACCCTTTGTTAAGTATTACTATTGCCCTCAACAAGAAAAATTTACTTTTTCACGGATAGAAAAAAAAAGCAGTACACTTAACAGAGGATCTATCTCGGCATGTCTTTATGGATATGAAGCTTGAACATGCCTCTATTATTGGTAAAAATGTCACCTCGTTTGCTTGAGCCGTAATGGAGATATTCAATTTTTATTTTGGCAAACTGACTTTTGGGCCACCCTGTTTATAGCCCAAAAGTCACCCATCCGAAAAAAAATTGAATATCTCCCTTACGACTCGAGCAAAGAAGCTGATTTTTTTACTGGTGATAGAGGCATGTATAAGCTTTATATCCATAAAGACATGTCTAGGAAGACGCTTTGTTAAGTATCACTACTGACCTCAACAAGAAAAATTTCACTTTTTCACAGATAGAAAAAACTCTAGTATACTTAATAAAGGATCTCTCTAGGCATGTCTTTATGAATATAAAGCTTGAACGTGGCTCTATCATTAATAAAAGAATCAGCTCGTTAGCTCGAGCCGTAGCAGAGATATTCAATTGTTTTCGGTAAAGTGACGTTTTCTTCTAACTGTGAAAAAGTAAATTTTTCTTGTTGAGGTCAATAGTGATACTTTACAAAGGGTCTCCCTGGACATGTCTTTATGGATATAAACTTGGTACATGCCTCTATCACTGGTAAAAAAATCAGCACGTTTGCTCGAGCCTTAATGGAGATATTCGAATTTCTTATCGCACAGTTATTTATGGACCACCCTGTATATGTGATAAAAATTTCAGCTCTCTATGCCAATAAAAAGTATGAAAAATATGATTAACAATTTATCATCAGTTATTATGGGACACTCTTTATATGTGTGGAGTGTTCCTAAAAAATGATGTGAGTCTCCACACTTTATATGTCCGAAAAGGTTTTAATTGTTATCTTAGACCGTTTTTGACCATGACCCGTCTAACTAGACTATTAAAATCTAAAAAAAAAATTTCTTTCAGAACATTGACACAGAATACCCTTCTTCCAAAGAGTGGTAGAAATCCCACGGATTTACCCACTATTTAATACTAATAAATTTCATTTTCGGTGTGCTTTAATTTGCTATAAAAGGCGACTATAAGATTTTGACATCAGAAAGACTTCCTCTATCTTATGGTCTATGTGCTACCAACTTCTACTGCATACCGTGGACATGTCGGTAGGGGGAGCCACCTTCATCACATTATACCGTACGCGTGATGAAGGTGGCACCCTCTATTGACATCTCAATGGTACATAATAGAATTTGATAATACATATACCATCAGATAGACGAAGTCTTCCTCTACAAACCTACACATATTCCGTTCTAGAGTTAGGAATCATCGTGGAGCTTATAGTCGCCTTTGTTATGGATGCTATTTGAAATAACAGCATGACCCTCTGGAAAAACATTTTTATCCACCCTTTACATATGATAACATTTCAATGCCGTTTCTAAAGGTCAAGTTCTTGCTCTTTTTCGTTTGGAAAAGTGTTTAGGTGTGATGAATGCTATTTTTGGACAAAACCAACAATTTAAAAGACACAACACCATTTCCTGAACTACTTGGGTAGGTGAGAGTTAATTATTGTCTAATAGAAATGTCCTTCGTGTCTGAAAACCTTCCATAATAAATCGTACAAAATCGTTGCTGGTGATGAGATAGTATTCAAAAATGTTCCAAATATCATTGCTATCAATGTACTACACTAAAACTGTTATTTCTAATGCATGAGATTCATTCAGTCTCACAGTGTCACAATTATGAATATTCAAATCTTGTAATATGTCCTACCACTTTCCAATACTGTCAAAAATAGGCGATCGCCATCGGTGTGAGCGATATCTTTACTCTCCAAAGATGTTTCGGGAAATAGCGAAGATACCCCCATGCAATACATCAATCAGAGTTAATGCAAAATTCTTTACCAAAAAACCAAATATTTTCATATGTAATCATTTGATTAAACAAAATCCATTGAGTACTATTTGAAGATGAGTTATCTGAACTTTGATAAATATTCCATGATATATTTTGAATATTTGTACAAATTCCAACACAAACAGCAAATAATGCAACCTGTGTTGTTGGATTAACAAGTTGAAATTCAAGATTTGGAACACACATTGTCGATATAACGCAACTAAATCAAAGATTTCTTTTCATTTAATCATATTGATAAAAAATAATTTACCCAATAGCAATTAATTGTGGACGAGTATCTTCAATTTGTACAAGTACATAACCAGTTGCTTGAATAGAAGAATTTTTACGATTTTCCATATAAACCATAAATTGATATGTTCGATTTGATTGGAGTGAACCAGAAATAATTGTCAAAGATGATTTGGGTGATAATGTTGAATTTCCATATATCAATATTGTTCCATTACCTTTTTAACAAATAATCATAATTATCAAAAACGTAAAAAATCAAAAATAATAATTTCTACCTGATCGATTTGATAAACATGATGGATTCAACGGATCAATTCTGGAATCATCGATTGATAATAATATACCTTGTAAATTTGGAAAATTATATAAACCATAAATTCGACAATAATATTCATATTTCCATTTCTAAAGTAAGAAGATTCGTTGATGTATTCATATATGATTGACACTTACACTAGCATCAAATGAATTTTCATCAGGATCAACAGAAAATGTTCCTGGATCAAGTAAAAGATCTTGTTGATTTCCACGTGTAATCATTGATGTTCCTAATTGAACAAGATTTGCTGTTATACCTGATGCAGTTATTCTAACATAAACAGATGATGAAGATTTTAGAATGGGTAAATTAACCATTGTCACAGTTAATGTTAATTCATAGGTACCATAAGCCAAAATTCTTGATGGAATATAAAGTTCACTAAGTGTTGTAATCACTTTTTCATTTAATTGAATTTGAAATAAACAAGAAGACGTGCAATTCTTAATTGTCCATTGCATATTTGTCAATAGTAAACCATTACAATTGAATTGAAGAATCGAAATAATGGAAAAATCTTGACTTCGTCGATATTGTAATGGAGATGCTAAAGATGACTGCCCAGGAATAAGTGTAATAGCGGGTGAAAAACAAGCTAGAATAAAATTATTGACAAATTATCTTTTATGTTATCAGAATTATTACTTCGATTAGTAACAAATGGTTCCGAAGTCGTGATAATCGTAGTTGTAGACGAATGTTGTTCCATTGAAATAGATTCTTCTGTAAATATTTTGAAAATATTGTCTTATCGACAGGATTCTCATCAACAAACCTTTTTCTAGCTGTGTTGTGCTCTCGGCATCAGTTGTTTGGATGATATATGTGGTTATTCTATCTGTCAAAGGAAAAAAAATTCTACGTAAGCTTTCAATCAGAAAATATTTGATGGTGCAAACCTATTTGGAAGTTTGTTGTGGTTGGAGCTGCAGTCGTTTCGACAGCACTTGTAGTTGGATCTGCAGTCGTTTCAACAGCACTTGTAGTTGGAGCTGCAGTCGTTTCGACAGCACTTATAGTTTGGACTACAGCGGTTTCTATAGCGCTTGTGGTCGGACCTGCAGTAGAATCAATGGGAATTGTGGTCGGATTCACAGTGGAATCGATGACACTTGTAATTGGAGCCGCAGTAGAATCAATGGCACTTGTGGTTGGAACTACAGTAGACTCAATGGCATTGATGGTTGAAGCCACTGTAGTTCGAATGGCATTTGTAGTTAGAACTTTAGTTGTTTGAATGGCACTCGTAGTGGGAACTGCAGTGGTTTGGACAGTGGTTGGTGCAGCTGAAACAAACAATATTTTTAATGCTTTATTAGGTCATCTACGAGAGAAACTATTTTTTCGAAATTTATTAAATTTTCCGTTAATTCAAACTTAAATTTCATTGTAAAAAAAGCTATCAATTAGCTGGAAGAATAAAATTGATGTCATCAAACTATGTAAATGCTACGTAATGTCGTATTAGAAACAATCTTCTATATCAGCTACAGAACCAGATCTTTTGAAGTCTATAAATAAAAAACAATGTTCGATTTGACTGTTTGTTTATGAAGAATGTGAGAGTTATATATGGATATTCGTCTTATTTTCAATGTCTGAAATAACGTCCTCCTCTCAAAATGAATTTTTAAGTTAACATAATCTGTTTGACCTGAAATTTCGAGGAATGAGTAGTCTTAGTGGAAAAATCATTTGGTGAAAATTCCAGTCTGATTTATCAAGCTAAACTAAAGTCTCAGTTTACCCAAAGGCATTTAGGATCATCAACAGACACCCTCACCCTCACCCCTTAAAAAGGTACAGAATTCTGGATAGTTTCGAATTAAAACCAACATCTGTGTTCAACTTTTGTCGGAGCAGATTTTTGAAATTTGCTTCTGTTTATTGTTTATAAACCTTAAAATAACCTTGAGATTACTGTCAGTAGACGCAAAATGAGCTACTTTAAAAAAACTCTACACAGTTTTGTCAGATATACAAGGAAAACTTGTCAAATGTTCGACATTAAGATATTGTCAAAAATCCTAAATATATATATATGTATGTTCTGAAAGAGCAAACTTCAGACTATCTTCCTATACCAGAACACTAATGTTCAAGATTCTTCGAAAAATTCGATTTCCTAAGAAGTCTTTTAAATAATATTCATTAAGTTTTATCATCCTTCATGTATCGACGCTCATAAATTCTTAAGTTTTTAACTAAGTTTTGCTTTTCATATGAATCTTCATAAGATACTTACGATAAGTAGTAGTTGTTATTAAAATAAACTTTTGAATTCGATTATTATTTTGATCAGTAACAAATATGTTTCCATAACTATCAAATTTAAGATCCGATGGAGAAGATAATTGACTGGATGTTGAACCAGCAACAGCTGAACATCCAACTATGCATCTAAAACCATTAGGTCCTGACCCAACAATACGATGATTGTAACTATCCACAATAAAAAAATATCCATCACCATCAAGTACAACTCCACTAGGACAATTAAGTGTAATTGTTCCTGTTGCCGTACTTCCTGCTACTGTTATTCCAGTTACTTGTCCTGATGGAAACTGTTGAATTCGATCATTTCCACAATCAGCTACATATAAATTAAGCTCGGCATCAACAAATATTCCACGAGGATTATTAAGTGTATTAGATGTTGATCCAGAACAATCTGTTCCAGCAGCTACTATCCACATACTAGAATCACTATTTAATGATTTTGTCACAACTTGATGAATATTATACATTGAACAGTACACGTTAGAACGAATGTCAACAAAGAGGCCATAACATGCTGCTTTAACATACATTGCTGAACTACTTGTCGTTCTATTGAATGTCCATTTGTCGACACGATCATTTGAATATCCATTATCGACATAAATATCACCAGTGACTGTAACGAAAATACTATATGGATAAGCTAAACCATTGGTTATGTTGCTTGTAGGTATTGTACGTCCTTCTAACCATATTTGAATCCGACTGTTTGCTCGATTGGCCACATAAACAGTATTGTTAGTGCTGACAAAAAGACCATAAGGAGTTGTACCGACTGTACCACTAGTTGCAAAAGTTGTTGCATTAGCATTCCAATAAGTAAATGCATTGAATTTTGGTTGATTGTACGAAACAGCTAAAGGAATATGTGTAGATACTGAATTAGTTTTGTTTTTATTCTGTTGTATACAAGTCACATAATCGTTCCTGAGAGATACATTAATTAAAGATAAGCAGTAATAAAAAATGAGATGAAAAATTTGCACGGAATATCTTAGACAAAGGCCCACTCGTCTTGAATTCCGTCCTGTTGAATTTGGAATCATGATTGAGACCATAACATTTTTTTTGACCGAGATCAAGATCGAAACCGAAAAACGTTGGTCTTGCTCATGTCTAGTTTATCCTATTTTCTACCTTATTGATTCCTACTCTTTACTTGTAATATCATTCTAACTATTTATAAAACATTCAAAATTTTCATTTCTTATGTTAAATTATTTTATTCGATATAATTTTAATTAGAACATATATTAGACTTGGAACCGGTACCGGACCGACCGGGTTTTTATTACTTTTTAGAGTACTGAAGCTAGTAAATGTTTGCTCATTTTTATCGATTTTCAAGGTTTAAATGTTCGAGAAAACGAATTTCAAACTTCGAATCGATAAATTTCTAATCGGGATCAAAATTTCAGCTCTGAATTTTCACCTAGTGCCTCCCACTGCACAATAAGTGATCTCGAAGCATACTGAATGCATTGATAATGGTGAAGAAAAGTTACGCACCGATTCAAAAGTTAAAGTCGATCCAAACTCGAAAATTCCCATATTCTAATTTCAAGCTCACTTTTGGACTGCTTTTCACTGATTGTCAGAAATTCTTAACAGACAGTAGATCTCAGATTATGCTCTAATTGTATGATTAACAAAAAAATTTCGTTTTAATGTGAAAGTTGTGCTACCTGCTAGTCTCAAGCAACTTAAAAAAATACTTACGTCTTAATAAAAATAAATCTACAAATATGAAGTCTATTTCAGAATCGAACTCTGAGCCTTATTTATTTTTCCTATCGGCAATAGAAGCTGACACATGGAAAAGTTTTTCAAGTAAGGGCACCATTTTTATTGGATTGTTCAAGGCAACTAAAAAGCAAGGTGGCACCATCCTTTCAAGTACGTTGAATAATGATTGCAAATAAGAAAACATCAAACTTATCACTTGTGGAGAAATCATGTATTTATTAAAGAAGACTAGCCAAAATAAGGCACACATATTGTTCTATATCACTGATTGTAAGTTACTGCATGAAAAAGGTTTTCTTTGCTTCTTACAAGGTCACATATGTAAGTGTAAAATCGCTTTTGAGTCGGGACTATGTGCATCATGTAGGCGTTAGTGAGACTAGAAGAAGCCCAAAAGGATAAGGGCTGCTAGGCCTATCTTCCCGAGTTATGACCGTTTTATTGAATTTTTTACCCTATGCAAGGTACTTCGAGGCAAATCAAAGGAAGGAATTTTGAGCAGAAATTTTGCCCATAAGTAGGCCTAATGATCCCTAGAATGTCCTGAAAGTTTCAGCCAAAACGAATGTTCCTTTCTTGAGATATTGGACTTACAAGAATCTCGAATTTTGTGAACTGCCTGTGACAGATGACTATTTAAAAAAATTGAATATCTTAAGAAGAGAACATTCATTTTGGCTGAAACTTTCAGGACATTCTAGGAATCATTAGGCCTACTTATGGGCAAAATTTCAGCTCAAAATTCCTTCTTTCGATTTG